GTTAAAGTAACATGGAACAGTTTTTTTTACTCCGTATTTGGTTGAACAACAACAACAATAAGCAACCCACTACAATCCCACAAATGGAGTCTGGGTAGGGGTACTCAGACCGGACCCCTACCAAAAAAAGATAGAGTTTTCAAAAAACAAAAAGACAGATGACATAGGTTAGCACAGTTTGGTTTTACCTTGGAAACATAAAGGAAAATCAAAATTGAATAATATTTAAAATTGTTTTCACATACTCTGCATATTCATTACTCCATAGTATTCACTGAATCGAAATCCATAAAAATCACAGGTTATGAGTTTGTGCAATATCTAAAGTTTATTCATTGAGTTTAAACCTTTTTTCATAAATAATCTTCACTTCCCAATTCTCTCTGCATTTTCTTTCCCTAATATCTTCATGAAAGACGATGAATAAGAGAAAAAGCTTCTCAACAAGAAAATTGTGACAAAAACGTCATATTTAGGTTTCATTTCGTGAAACAGCCCAACATTTAATTTCTTTTCATGCATTTAAAATTACATCTAGTACACCGCATTCAGCAATTCATTCATACATTTAATCGAACACTTAGCAATCAAACAGAAATCAATGAGTCATTGTGCTAATAGAGTTGTCAATAATAAAATTGCAGAGCAAAGAGAGGTAGGTAATGTTTTGCTATTAAGTTTTATTAGGTAGGTAATGATAGGTAATTGGAGGTAGGTAATTGAAGTTAGGTAAATTAAGGTAATAAGTTGAAAAATTGTGTTTGGATATTTATTAGGTAGGTATTGTGAGGTAAGGAAAACAATAAAATTACTTAAATACCCTCGTCAGGATCCCCACGTAGCAAATACTTGTGTAAAATTCTCGGATCCCCACATAGCAAATGCTTGTGTAAAATTGAGCATGCCATTATAATATTCAATCTCAGCATGCCAAAAAAACAATACAAAAAAAAAAGCATATTTCTATAAATATCAAAAAAAACATCAATACACGAAAATAAAAAAACATAAAAAAAAACAAGCTTCTTCGGCAAACATAAAAAACAGAAAAACAAGACGGCAGAAAAAACAGCAAAAACAAATAAACGAAAAAAACAGACAAAAAACAGCAAAAAATCAACGGCACAAAAGAAAATTGGAAGAAGGGAAAAAACTGGAAAAAAACAGCAAATTTCAATATTTCACAAAATAAAAGTAAACAAAACGTGCTGGATAGGAGAACTCTTAACCCGCATATCTCAAAAAATTGAAGAAAAAAATGAATAAACGAAGAGTTGGAAGATGAAGGGAGATGAAGAACCTGCGTCGCAGGAAGAGGAGCTGCAAAGCAGCGGGAGATGAAGATCGGCGATGGGAGAGGAAAGCGTCCAACCTGCGCCAGAAGGAAAAAAAAAGGGAAGAGCAGCGGAACTAATTATTTACCTAGGTTTATCACGTTTTGAGAGCTAAGGTTACCTCTCCTTACCTAATTCAATTTTTTCTCCCAAACAAGATAACATTATAATTAAACCTCACTCTACCTTGAACCAAACACAGTCTTAGCAGTGGAGCTCAGATCGCAGGTTTCCCGTCGCAGTGAAGGCGATCTCAGGTTTCGTCCCGGATAAATAAGCCTCTCTCATTCTTTCAATTAATTCTGCATTGTCCTTTGTAAATTGTAATTCTACATCTAAAATTTTACTTTATGGGTCCATTTGGTTTGGGAATATATATATATACTAGCTTAAGACGCACTCTGTGCGTGTAAGGCCCAAGAGAAAAGACACGTCTTTAACAATAGCCCTTACACACCCCTTCAAAAGGTAATGTTTACAGAAGAGGCACAAAGCAGCTTCTATTTTCTACGTAGTGATATATACATGTGTTGCAGATTTTAAGAGCACATGGGACCTTGGTTTCTCCCACTAATGTTATTGCTATAAAGCTAGCCCCTTACAAAAATCAAACAAACAGTCCCATTTGATATGTTTTTTCTATCAAACCTACAACACCAAAAGGGAAATGTCAAGTGTAAATATGTGCAGACAAATATTATCTGTAAAAATATCTAAACGAAGAAAATCATGAGCAAAACAAACAAGAAACCAAATCGAATACACACCAAGTAGTCCTGCATATTACAAATTTTAAATATATGGAGTAATATATATCCTGAGTGAAAATAAGCAGTGGTGGTACCTAAAATATTAGAAGCATAATGTTGGAATTTGAAACAATCATAAGAAATGATATTGAAACAATATACAGGGCAGCAAATTTTCAAAAGAAATAGTTTACTTAGAGTCAAACATTAACTCAATTCGTAGACCTCTCCAATTAATGGGAATGTTAATCACAAGTACTCGGGAGTAGCTAACACCATTCCGACCATCTCCATTTAAAGTCTGGTTTAAAGTTCTTAGGTTTGAAAATACAAATCAATCATTTGATTAAAACTTAAATTTTCAAATTTGCAGCCAAAAAGGAACTGGATTTAGGGAAAGTATATTGAGATATATATAAAATCCTTAAGTTATC